ATGAAAGCGCGATCTATACCGAAGCTAGACTTTCGAGCTACTCTGCTCGCCACACGACTGAAAGATGACATACTGAAAGCACATACATTTAATATAAATCGTGTCTGCATATGGAAACTTACTACAGTTTTGCAGTGGCTGAACACCAGTGACAAAATACCTGTACTTGTCGCTAACCGTGTCGGCGAGATCCTCGAATCGAACACTATTGAAGAGTGGCACCAATTTTTGAGCGGCAATAACCCAGCTGACACCGGTACGCGGGGGACTTCTTCTGAAGCCCTCAAAAATAGCAGCTGGGTTTTTAGTTCAAGCGTTCTCAGGACTACTAATTGGATGTTTATACCCGACGAACGTGTGATCATTAAGGTTTATTTGAAGGGTCCTTTTTGTGATGTCGATAATTGCTTCGAGACATCATCTTTCTTCGTCACCGATGTCACATCCATCAATAATCACGATAGGGATCAATTGGGAAAGGTTTCGTTCCTTTAAGAGATATAAAAGAGTTGTCGCCTTTATGTTAAGGATGCTGCCTTCACATAAGCATTTGCGCGATAAGGACTTACGGATCACCGAACCCACTGAACTTGATATTGCCGGAAACAAACTTTTTTATCTGGTTCAGATGGAATTCTTACCCGTTGAGTTGAAAACCTTAAACGCTGGGAAACCTATTAAGAATAGTAGTTAAATTATCTTATACTCTTCATTTATCGGTCCCGCTGGTATCAGTCGTTCCACCAGCCGTATCGTTTGCTTAGTCAGTACCAAGTTTGATACTAAGCACGCAATTTTACTCTACGTACGTCATACGTCAGTTCTTATCTTGGCCTACAGCCTGCACCATGAGCCTTTAAACCAAGGTTTAGACTACAAGCGCTCCGTTTTAAATATAAAATGTACAAACTTGGGTTGCGTCGACTATTTCGGTCTATCAATTGCGTCGACTAAACAATGTGTAACATGCCGTAAATGCAAATCAAGCAAGTTCCAGCCAACTGATGTTTATTTACCTTTCGAACATCTCGGATAAAAGCAACCACCCTTTAATCATATGGTTGTGGAATACTTTTGGTAATTTTTACGTTCCGATTCGCAGAAGCACTGAAGAAAGATGGTGGTTTCCTTTCACTTGCCTCACTGCCAGAGTTGTACACCTTGAGATTGTACCATCTCTGGACACTAGCTCATCTGTCATGGGCATTGAACGGTTCATTGTGCCTCGTGATACACCAAGCATAATCTGGTCGGATAACAGCACGAACTTCGTTGGTGCGGAAAAGTAATTGCTTGCCTGCATCAAGAGCGGGAACTGCATGGCTCCAACCATTTTTGCACACAGATATGTTGCTTGGAAGTTTAACCCGCCAGACGCACCCCGTCACGGCAGCTCCTTGGAGCGCCTCGTACGAAGAGTGAAGCGCGTGCGGTACGATATCCTAGGCAGTAGGCGAGTTACTGAAGAGGTGTTAGAAACAACACTGTGCTTAGTTGAGCAGTTTTTAATTTGAGGCCAACCGCTCCCGTTAGTACAGTTTCATGTTAGTACAGAGTTAGAAGCGTTAAACTCAAACCAATTTTTGCTTGAACAACATGCCACCAGCGTTCCTTTGTTTTTTTCCTGGGGAGCACTTCGACCAAAAAAAATGTACGTGCGATCGCTGTCGTATGCTAACGCTATTCGGTCTCGTTGGCTAAGAGATTATGTTCCATTACTGAATAAGCGTATCAAGTGGCAAATTCAGTCTGACTTCATTCTTAAGACAGGCGACCTTGTGTGGGCGATTGAGCCCGATAGTCCGCGTGGGTACTACCCTCCCTCCCGAATCGTTATGCTGCATTATGGACAGGACAGTCGCGCACGATCTGCCCTTGTTAGGACACCGCAACACGTGAAGTCACTCCGGTTCGCTCCGGTTCTTCCTTCTTCTGGGGGGGGGGGGGAGATGTTGCAACGCAAATGTAAACGAGATTATAATTGAATATGATTGGACCAATTTATAGTTACATATTAGCATAGTTGACCGTTTTTCCAAGAGTCTAATCGCTCACGCCGGTCAACCGGGTTCGATTCCTCCCTTTCGCAAACCTTAAACGTTTAGACCCGAGGGGTTATAGTATCATTTGATTTTTTTACTGTTTTTTTTTGTTCTAATTCGATTCAGCCTTGACGAAGCTTGACTGTCAAAAAAGCAATTTGTCTCAAAGACAATACCGACTAATTTTTGTGGCTGGCGCGCGCCAATATGTATCGATTTGAGGCAACCTAATGAAGTTTTATGATGTTATGCTCCACCGAAATTATGATGAGTTTCCGAGAATTTTTGCCAATGCTCTGATTAAATCAAACTTTCTGAACCTTCATATTTTCTAATTTACGGAGATTAAGCGCAAAATGGCTAACTTTGGGGCAGCCTAAAAAGCAAGATTTTATTTTTTTCGATATTTTTTTTGTTTTATTTTTCCGTTTTAGAAAATTCTGTTAATGTGCAAGATCTAAAAAAAAATTTGAGGTTTGATGTAGGCCAAATAGTTTTGACAGGATGCTTATTGTAGAAATTCTTTCAAACCATTACGAGGTCAATTTGTGCATTCTCTGCATTGTAAGCAGCATCCGCAACAGGCCAAATTCAGAATTTTTGCGGAATCCTTTATCTCATATTCCAATAGATTTTCAATATTAAAACCGTTGTCCTATATAGTCTCAAACAAGTCTTTTTTGTCAACTTCGTTTCCATGTCCAATATCGTGATCTGACAAGATGAAAATGTCGGTATGCAGGTGCTGAAAAAATAGTAGCACCCCTATGCTCTACATTTTAATATTTAGTGATTGCAGACAGTATAGCAGCAGATCCTAACAGGAATTCTATCATTTTTCCCTCAGCTTTAGGGACGAAAGAGCTTTGACAGAGATTGGCAACTCATGCTGCAGAACAAAATTGGGTGCAAACTGCCCCCCCCCCCCCCCCCGTCCAGGTCCCAGACACATGTCCAGTCTTTCGCGACCAAATTTTGGCATGTCCAGACTGGATCAAGAATGAATAAGAAGGACTATGCCCAGGGCCCTTCTGTTTCAAGAGGGACTAATTAAATGGCAGGTACTACTATAAGAAATACTGTTAAAGGGTACAAAATCAGGTTAAGATTGGGTAAAGAATGTGCCATGTACTAAGACAACACTTTAGATGTACGTTTCAGTTGGTAAGATTTTTGGACTCCCATTTTTCCAGGACAGCACTAATCCGATATAAGTACCGAGACATTCCTATGTTTTAAGTTATCCTCGTTTGGATTCCCCGAAATCTTAAAGTGCTCGGTTTGAGAATATGCTTTAAAGTTTTTTTCATCTAGTTTTGTTACCGTTTATTCTATCGCAATATTCGCTTTATCCAAACAAGAATTTCGAGTCGAAAAGTAAAAGAATTTTCGAGTTTCGAAATGATCATTTTCATGTGATCCTATGATGGTTTCAAAAACTTCGAGTTTGAAAATAAAGAAAAACCATCAGTTCAGTTGAATAAAATTTTTAAAAACTGATTCGTTTTTCGACTCCAAAAAGCTAAGTTTATTCAACTTTGGTGATGCTTTGATAGCTTGAGGTGCTTTAGGAAAAATCAACCATAATCATTTTGATCATTTTTTAACGAATGAGTTGATTATAACAGACAAAAATATGACAACTGTATTGTCTACAAAATTTCAAAAATTTGATTTAAAAAAAATTCAATTGAATTTCCTCAGAAAATTTTCCAAGTTTTTGTTACTTGGTTTATATGTGGTTACAGATACATTTTGTTATTTTTTTTCCATTTTCATCACTACGAAGCCGAAAAATGCACTGGATAGACGCACAATTTTGGGTCTGTGTGTTCCTGGATTTCAAAGACAAGTCTCTAAACATAATAAGTTTTTGTCGGATCAAAGAAAGTTAAAGGGCAATAGAAGAACAAAGAAGAGCGTCCTTGTTGAGGAATCCGCGTACAATTCACAAAATGCACAGTTTGGCCTCGTAATGATTGACACCAGAAAGTCAAGAATATGAAGGGATCTGAAATTTTATTTCGAACAAATTTTGATTCATAACGCAGGGTTGAGGGTTTTCAGGTAGGAAAAATAAAAATTATAATAAGGGATAGATCAAACACATCAGTTAATTGGACTCGTCTCTTGTGAACATACTTCTGACTCGTTTGATTTTCTTCTGAGTTTTTTTCTTGAATTCCAAAAAAGGCTTATGAAAGGGAACCATGAGGATTAAAACCAGAATTGTGTTAACAAAGCCAAAAGTTTGTCTGGTTCAGTTTCTTTTGATCTCTCATGACAAAACTTTTTTTTTAGAAATTTTGCCATTATAGAATGAAATCACCCATCATTTATATTTTTCATCTCATCAGTAACTGAGATAACTGAAAGAAAAGTTAATTGCTTTATCACGGTCACTTTTAGAAAAAAAAGAGCTATTTCATCACTTCAGCGCTGATGGCATCCATGGACGGGGAAGGCTAATCATACAAATCCAAAAACTAAATCTATGAAAAAATGCTTGCTCAAAAAAATTCAATTGTTTTTTGCTAAAATGATGTAATTGAACTGAAAAAGTAAATTTTCTTGTTTTCGCATAAAAGTTTGTATGAAAACTTTACTCTGGACTACATTGAGACTAAAATATGAAAATTTGTATGCTACTCGCTTTTTTTGGAAAAAGGGTTTTTAGCACAAAAATTAATATGCAACTTAAATTTGAGCAAAAAAGTTCCATGTATATTCAATTTTTTGTTTGCAGCAAGGTAAAAATGAGTTATAATACATTTTTCATAATTAGATATTGAATGATAAAGGCTTTAGTAAAACACTATAAGAATTTTTTTTATTTTATCTGTATGTCATTGATATGGATGTTTTTCTTTTTATCACCTTACCTGTTGTGAGTGTGTTTTTAGTATAATTTAGGTATCAAAAGAGGCCTCAATCCGCGCAGAATTGTTTCAGCTATCAGCCAACGAAAACCATGATCCATGTCAGTAAGTCCATACACCTCAACAATGTCCCTAATCTCAGGGGGATATAAAGATAAATGGTACTTCTCATATCCATCGTACCAAGTCTGTTTCATGTCACGCCTGAACAACTGTTAATTTTCGCTCGCTTTTCATCGGTTTTTTGCACAGGAAAAATTGAAAACTGGCAACAACAAAATGATAAAAGTTCGAGAAATGAAAAAATAATTGGCGATTTTGCATGTTGAGCTGTATATAATTTTTTTTTTCTAAAGAAGACTTATTTTAAACAAAAATTGTGAAAAATAGCAAAAACTTGAATGAATCTGTAAGGTATTTGTTTTTATCTTCAGAAAATGGTAGTTTAGAAGCTTCACGCTGTAAAAAAAAGTGATTCAAAAATATCAAGGACTAAAAATCGTTGCGATGAGTTTTGTTTCTTTTGAAGGTTTAAAAAATTTCAATGGCTCAAACTTTGTATTGCTTTAGATTTTTATTGTCGAAGGAACTAAATTTAAACCTAAAACAGAAACTATTCAGAAATCAATGTAAAACAAAAAAGTGTTATATTGATAATTTTTAATGAAGAATAATATGTTATTAAGGCTGCCAGAAATTGCCATCAATTTTTGAGAAAATCAAATTGATGTTGAAAAAAGAAGTTTACATGGGAAAACGCGATAGAGTAATTTTACTTAATTAGAAGCTTGGAGATTAAAAAAATCAACAAAGATTATCATTTGAAACATTGCAAGGAAAAGCAGCAAAGATGAAGAGGATCGAAAAAAAAAAACAATTTTTTTCTGAAAATTTCACGGTAAATGAAAACCACATGAAACCTATTCTGCGTGGGACTATTTATTATGTGAAGGGTAACACCAACTTGAAAAGGAAGGACAGAATCGGGGAGTTTTAGATGTGGAGCTACAGTTAATCTGTCATGGTTACAAAACCAAGTCAAGAATCTATAGATGAAAATGTGCAAGACCAGGAAAACAGTAATGATAACAAAGTTTTAGCAGAATTCGATGTCAGATTCAGACAAAACAAAGTAATGATAGACATAATTCTGAAGTACTGTGAACTTATCCTGAAAAAGTTAGCCAGAAAAATGATGTAGCAGAACTATTTTGAGGAAAAACGGAGGTGAAATACGCCTAAATTTCATGTTTCGAAATTGCGGGAAAATAGAAAATGAAACACCCCGAGTTAAAGTTTTAGTCACCTGATAAAGAAACAGTGTTATACCAGCTCTGAAAAAATTGGGATTGAAGTCAATTTAAACAGATTTTTATACAGATAACATACTGTATAGAGTTCGAAATACGATAGCCCAATTAGATACGTAAATCGATATAGATGTTACATAAAACGGACTTAAATGTGTTTTAGTTAAGTAAAGAAAATTATCAAAACCTACGCATTAAAATCATGATAATGTTCATTGGAGCTAAAGAGAGCAAGAGCTTCTCAAGGAGAGATTTTAGCGCCAACTGTTGCGATCAGAAATACCCTTACTTTTTAAGTAGTGCAAAACTAAGGGTTCCCGCGGTAATTCAAAATGAAATTGTGCAAAATTATTGGAGTAGAAAGTTTGGAATCTGGTTATTATCATAGTTAATATTCGGGCCAAACATCAGAGTGAAAAATGTGGATTGAAAAACATCTGTTAAATTTTTATTTCCAATCTTTCTATATTATAGAAAGTCTGAAAACAATCAGTATAATTTCAGCTTAAATGGAATTTGAAAAATATCAACAAAAACTGACTTAAATTGACGTACAACGACCTTATTGTTACTCAAGTCCGTAGGAAAATAAAACCAATTAAAGAGAGAAAAACGGACAAAAAAGATTTAGAATCAAATGTAATTGACCGTTGAGCTTTACATTTTTTTATCAAACTATATCGATTTCAAAGCAATTTCATTTGATCACTACATGTCTCTGCTGTGTTATGATTATAAAACTGATTGCAATCCAGTTTTGTCAGTACTGGTAATCGCTGTAAAAACTAGAAAGGAAACTGCATGTAATGGGAATTATAGACTACAAGTATAACAAGACTGCTCGTATCAGGGCGAAGCCCTGAAAGTTCCGACTGCCTTTTAACGTTTATGGAGCAGTAATAACATAAACAACATAAAAAAATGAAATGAAATAAAATAAAATGAAAAAAAATTTTTTTATAAAATTTGAAAATTTTTCTATGAAAATCATCCCCCCCCCACGCCATATAAAGTGCAAAACAATAGATTTCGCTCCTTTTAACAAATCACTTATGGCAAATAAGCTTCTTACAACCAATTTGGAACGATTTCCAAGACGGATTAATTCTCCGCTTACGCGTTAATAGCGCGAATTATATCGCGCGTTAATTGTCCCAAATTGGTCAAAACGGCCAAAATGGCAACCTTTAAACCCTCATAACTTTACGAAAAACGATCACAGGTAAAATATCTTTTAAAATTTAAGCTCAGGACAACAATAGCTTTCGAATGATATGAAAAAATTTCCGTCAAAAATGGCTAGTTAAAAAGTCGAAATTTGTCTGAAGAAAAAAAAACCCACCCCGAGCACAAGTTTTCCGTTACTTTCGTATCGAGAGTCGGAACAAGAAAATGTATTTAAGCTTTGTTGCACAAATGAGAGTGTCTAATTCGACTAGTTTTTTCTCGGCGAAGAATGGAAATAGTAGAGATCAAAATAAGATTAAATTGAAAACTTTCGATGATAATTTATGATGAGCAGCTTGAACTAAAACATAGCAAAAATTTTCCTTTTAGGAAAAAAACATAATTGAGCTATTGGAAATTTGAACATCCGTTTAGTGCACACGAACTTAAAAATTGTACGTAAGTCATGATGCCTTTCTGTTACTGGTGTTTTTTAAAACAATAGATGTGGCAGGGTTATGATGAATTTTTCGATTGTATTGTTTAAGACGCCAGATGTAAATTAAAGAGTGCCTACCCGCACTGAAGTTTCACGGATAATAATCGATTATATTGGATTTTCATTGTCAGTCTCTACAAAATAACAAAAATAATCGATTATAATTGATTGAAAATGGCTTATAATAAAAATATTTTTTAAGCTATAAAAATCCATTTTAATCGATTATAATCGATTATTTTCAAAAAATTTTATCAAAGGAAAACTAATCCATTTTAATCGATTATAATGGATTATAATCTATTAATTCAAATCATTTTGCGTGTTGTTTTCTTTTTTTCATAATTTTGTTAAACTTAAGTTAGTTGTTTTGCTCTCTCGCTTATTTTCATTTTTTCCTATTTTCAATCGAGTTATGAAAAATTACAAAAAATTACCTATAGATCCCACACCAAATCCCCCACGCTTACCCGTACAAGGGGAGGGAGGGGGGATTTATACGTTGGGGGGAGGAGCTGGTCACAATGCTGTTTTTGGGCACTTTTTGGAAAGTTACTACATATTGGCCGCCCCTGAATGAACGTGTTCGTTCGAGTTTTGCAGAAAGTTGCAAATATTAGAGTCATTATTTTAATCAATTTTCATGGATTTTATGTACAAAAATAATCCATTATATTGAAAATAAAAATGGATTATAATCGATTATAATGGATTATAATGGATTTCAATTTTTCCAAAATAATCGATTATAATCGATTAAAAATCGATTACGTGGTCTAAATTTGACTTTATAATCGATTATATAAACAACATTTTAGTCAATGAAAATCCATTATAAACGATTATTACCCATGAAATTTCGGTGCGGGTAAAGAGGAACTCTACATAAGATTAGAAAAAAGCTGTAGATTGGCAGAAAACATTTATAATTGAATATGTGTTTGAAGTATTCCAATAAAATAAGACAGATTTTTGTTACCCTGGTTGAGTTTTGATTGCAAATAAGCGATAAAAATTGTAAAACAGCGATCGCTAGCAGTGAATCAGCGCTACACAATCATTCGTGTAGCTTTTGTTCAATACTGAATTAGCACTGATTCAGAACTGGGAAATCCGAAACGTTCAGCAATGAATAAGCGACGAATTAGCGCTGAATTAGAGATGAATTAGTGCTGAATTAGAGATGAATTAGTGCTGAATTAGTGATGATTTTTAGCGATGAGTTTGCAATGAATAAGCGGTGCAATAGCAAATTAAAAAACTTGAAACGCTCCTTTACCGTAGCCGTTTCCTCCCAACTCGCCGTCTGTACCCCCTTTAGCTCCCAACGCCGGGTAATATACTATTTTTAACCCCTTCCAAGGTTCTACTCTCAGCGTTTCTTTACCAACCCATACCCTGCTTATCCCCCGCACCCATAGTTAATTGACGAGGGGCCACCGTTTTTATCCCTCACAGATGTTAACACTTCCCCCATTTAACACGATTTCTGTACTAATTGCTTTTTGAGGAAATGTACCAACAAAATTTTCCTATTTTTGCGAATGAGTGAATTGTCAAAAAAAGATAATGACTTGCATAGCGTTTTAATAAGTATTTGTCGTTATTTATCTTTATATAATTATCATGCTAATGAATTTAACTGCAGGTAGTGTAAAAATCAGCTAATTGCCCAATGACAAATTGCAAAACAACTGTATTGAGTGTTTTTGAGTGGAAATTTTAGAAGCAAAACGCAAAGACTCAGGTGAAACGTTTTTTCATTGACTCAAGGTCTCTTAATGTGTAAAGTCTTACATTGAAGAGCTCGTGATTTTAAATTACCATACAAAGTTTTCTGAAAAAAAAAATTTTCTGATTGGTGATTGGAAGAAAACATATTAAATTATATTTCTTCAGCACTGAAAAGAATTGATTTAGCGATGAATTAGCGATGATTTTGTAGCGATTAATCAGAAAGGAATTAGCAATTTTTTATGCTAAATTAACTTTAAGTTCTCTTGTAATTTTTTGCTAAATCATCACTTAACAATCGTGTTTTTTTGTGTTCATCAGAACAGATTATTCCTATCAACTATGTATGGAAAACTGCAGAATCATCCATGGAAATGTTGTAGAACTTGGTTTTGAACTTGGTTTTTTTTCAACAGATTTTATTGGAAATTCAACCGAAAAAGGTGTACAGAAAAACTTCGTTAAAATAGATGAGGAAAAATTATTTAAAGCAGTACGAAGGACACCTGATAACGGTAAATCGTGTAAGGTGCGATAAACAAGCAAATGTGTGAAACATTACGAAATGTTTGACTTCAATGTGTCAAGATTTTATCAATTTTTTCTCGGCCATTGATTTAAAAGAGTGGGCAAGACAAATAAAAACAGACTTTGGTCATCATCATTGATGTTATGCCCCATCTTATTCTTGTACGAAATTCTTCGTGGCTGAAGTCCAAGAACATTTCATATGGTAATACCAAAACCACCCACGACAGCAATATAGCAGCAAACGCCTTCGTTAGAGTATCGCTTCTTTTAATTGTCGAAGAACTGAGAGCAACAAAGCATCGCCAGTAGAGAACAACGCACAAGAAGACTATCGAGACGGTAAAAGCTATTTTCATATATTTCATTATAATTACATCTCCAAAGCTGTGATGTTGTTTTCGAGTTGAGCAGACCTCTAATGAATTTATGGGCTGGTACGAAAAACGAGGATCACGTTTTTACTCACACTTATTCGATATTATTTCCAATTCACTATAGGTCGTCTTGACAAAACTTCAAAACTTTAGAACGACATTCAATTTATCAGTTTTAAAAAAAAAAGAAAAAAACTTATAAAAATTTACTTGGTTTCCAGCTTTCCGACTTATCATTTTTTTAAATGACAGGAAGGTATCGAGTGACTCACTAAAAGTAAAAATGATCGATTTTTGTTGAATCAGTGAAATTGAACAATGATACAAAAAAATGAAGGCGTGTTTTTTTCGGCTCACCAAACATCAGTCATTTGCAAACATCAGATATTTCTTTTTCTGTTTTTTTTTCAGGAGTTTTCCCTAGATTGCAAAATACTCGCAGGGAACAGTTTTTTGGTCTGAACAGCTCACTCCTGGTTACAACCGAAGCAATTACTGGTCTGAAGCTAAAATCAAAACAGTTTTTTTTTCAGAAAAAAAAAACAAGAATTACAAATTAAAATTATATATTTTTTCTTTTTGATTTTATTTTGGTTAATCTCAAATCTGTTTTCTCACGTAAGCGTGATCAAAACAAAATATGTTACCTGCAGGCCAGTCAGATGATCTTTTTTTCATGCCGACCGCTTAAAAATTGCGGAAGATATTAATTTTTGGGAGTTTTAGTTTTTTCTAGGTTTTCTTTTTGTTTTTCACGCACCACCGGTACCACAAAAAACCAGTGCGAGATCGAAATATGCATCATGATAATTTTTTGTCTTCACTCAATCAAACAAAACTTTCCTCAAATGCAAGTGAGTAATTTTATCTTAGAAAAAGTGTACAAGAAACTAGAAAAACACTTGGAATTTTAGTTTTTAATTTTTTTTGTTCATTATGTTTACTCTTCTCGTATTGAAGACAACCGTTGTCGCTTCAGTTTGCCTAAATAAATTTTCGTCTACGGATAACAAGAGAGTGTTTATTTGAAAAAAAAGTTTCTGTTTTTGTTGTTTTAATATGACTGTAATTGGATTATCAGAGTTTTAAGCGCAGCAACGGACTATCCTTATTGCTATATTATTTTTGACTTGATCTTTTTATTCTTCAATTGTGTCTAGCAGCAAAGAAATTGCATTGCTGGATTTACTTTAAAATCAATGTTTGTTCATTAGATTAATGGAAGTGAAACGGGATTTTTAACAGTGTTTTATAATTGTATATAAGTCAATTTGCATACCAGTAATAAAACAATTGATTTTTCAATTAGCCGTTAAATGAGCAAGTGTTTAAAATTTTTCTTCAAAAATTTTTGAACAATAATGTGAAAAATCGAATCAATCTTGACCTAGGAGAAATTAAATGGCATTGAAACTTAAGTTTTATCTGGAAGTTTCATTTGAGTCAGAAAGAGCGACAATGCAAAAATTGTACTTTCCAGAGACGTTCATTTCCTCGCCAAAAAGGCAAAATGGGTTTCAATCAACCGAGGTTTTAACAAGTTTTGACGAAAAAAAACCAGCGCAAAGCTTCAAAACAAAAATGTTCTATAAGCTTGAGTTAACTCAAAATTTAATGCATAAAACAAAAAAATTTTTTTGGAAACAAGCAATCTTAATTTTATTGCGAAATCGACAAAGGTTTTTTTTCGTGATGTGAGTTTTTTTCATTCGGGTCACTTACTACCTAATAACTGCTTTCTTGTTCAACGTATTTTTTTTAAAAACTGACAATCTTTATCTCAGTTTAAAGGAACTTTTTTTTTACGTTATAGGGACTCAAAATGCTGCGATAAAAAACGTGTTGTTAATTCCTTGTTTGAAACTCATGAGATGTTTTTTGATCACTTGATATCAGTCCAAATCAAATAAAACTTTTTATTAAGTATTCCGATTAGGCTAATGTGAGGCCAATTTTTCACATTTTGCGTGGGGGGAGTTCCTTTATAATGATACAACGTTTTCTCCAAAAAAATTCAATCTACAAAATTTACTGTTTCATTGTTTTTAAAGGACAGACAGATCAAAAAGGGGTTTTAAACTGATGCAAATAATCTGGATGAAAATTTTGAAAAGAGGTACGCTCCAATTGGATTTGCAGATAAGAGACACAAGTAAATGCTGTCCTTCCTCCAAATACTTTGTTGAACTAATTAAATTGTCATGGTTACGACTTTCGTAAAAAGTGAAATAGTGTTAGAACCTGATGGAGGAGGATAGGGAGTTTTTTGAAAGTTTTTTTTTCTTCTTGCTAGCCGGTTTTGACAGAGTCATTGAAAATATCAGATAACGGAAATTCCCACCTAGTTTTTTCAATTTCTCACCTCAGCTAGTTTAGTTTTTTGCCCGATTTGTTTTGCCCTTTCGCGCGAGCGCCAATTTAAATCTTCTCATCTTGAAATGAAGCAAGCAGTTTACATCCTCTAGTATGTTACCGGGTGGAAGCTACCTTGCTTTGATCTTCACTTAGAGACTTAGAGAAGTATGAAAAATGAAAAGAAATTGAGGAAAAAAACATACCAATAAAATTGGAAAAAAATGTTCTGGAACCATATACGGTAAAAATGTTTTTATTTTCAAATGTACACTTGTTTTTACTTGTTTTAAAACACTTTTCCTAATTTTGATTTTTCTTTTTATCCCTGAGGTGATTACAGCAACGACAAATTTCAAATAACATCCTGACATATATTTTGTTCCAGGCTAATAGGAGCAATAAAGAGAAACAAAAATCTACTTCAAGCAATCTTACTTCGTCTTGAAGTACATAAACAAATCGCACCAAAGGGACACTGAACGTCAGTATAAACACAACCGAATAGAACTTTTTCCGATTGGGAACACTGAAAAAAGAACGTGCATCTAATCCTCGCGATATTAGCATATACCTGAAACAAAACTTGTGTGATTAAAAAAACATACAATGAGCCATACTTATTGGTTAACTGGACAATTTTTTTTTCGTAAAAAATCGATTGATTTGAAAAAAAAATATTGGAAAAACAAAATGCTGAGTCTGCTGAAATTAAATTATGCCAGAAAATTCTTTGTTTTAAATTTCAAAATTTCAAAAAAGTTTTCTTGGTTGTATTTCAGTTCATCAGTTCATTCAATTCAATTGCATTAAAAATCACAAAAAAGATAGTTTGAGCAACTAAATGAAATCAGGTGGTTGTTGAATCGAATTAAATAACTGTGAAGTCATTGAAAAAACGAACTTCATTTAATCCAATTAAGAATTGGCTAGGTGTGCCACCGAGCCATTCAGGAAAGATATCGTATCTGGCCGAGTGTCCAATGTTCAGTCTAGTCGAAAGTTCAGTCCAGATTCGAAGTTTTTTTCAGAAACGACCCTTACTTACCTTTCCACAGCAAGAGCTACACTCATGATTGCTTGAGGCCAGAAGGTAAACATATCTGTCAGATACCAGATAACTCCAATGCTGTTAAGATACTTAATGCGTGTTATTGTAGGATATGATTCCTCGTCAACGGCTGCTTCTTGTTCACTGTTTTGGAAACGTTTTCAGTTTCATTTTCAATAACTTTTTGAAACCTAAGGAAAAACAATTATTTTTTTCATTATTTCGAATTGATTAAGATTTTTTGAAGAAAAACTATGTGAAAGGCTAAAAAAAAAGTTCGACTACCAATTTTGTCCCTAAAGCTCTTGAGGTCAAAAAACAACACAACGCAAACACAATCCTCGTTTGATCCCTTCCATAGAAGATTCGAAGAATTGAGGAGAATTAAGCTAAAACTTTAGCTGCAAAAAGTTTTTGAGGGTCCTTTAAACTGGGGGCGGCAATGTAGTAAAACATCAATGATTGAAAAATTTATTTTTTTTGCGTCAGAAGTCCTAATATAAGAAACAGTACCATGAACAAATTATCAACACTTTACCAAAACAAAAAAGGTGCGCTGTTTCTTTTTGTCAAAGTTGGTGAAAGTCTATGACCGATATCTAGGAAACTTTGTTTTTATGTGGGTCGCAGTTTGATATTCCTACCAAAAATTTAAAATATAAAACCAATCATATTCAAAAACCCACGTAAGCTACATATATGAAGTTTCAGTGTAGCGGCTGTAAACCTTAGTGTTAATTTTTTATTGAAACATAAAACGATCCCAAGATAATTTTCACAGAAGAATTGCCACCTCGAGAAGTCTTCGGAAACTGCTCTGAAATGCGAAACTACTGAAACACTAAAAGTAACGATACAGTTTCGAAAGTCCTTCAAAATTGTACTGTTGTAAACGATAGTCTTTGGTAAATTGCCACAAAATTATCATGCTCCGCAACGATCAATTGAGGTTGCTCTCAGCGAAAATGGAAAAAATAACTAGAGACGAAATGTTCCTGACATGAAATCAGTAAATAACTCTTTTTGTAGATACTCAAAACTCTATGCTTAAAAAACAACTGCTGATACTGCTGAATAGTATTGATTGAACAAGAGGATCCAAATCTGTTTAAAAATTTCCTTGGTTTTTGTTTTGATTTGTTTAGCCATCATTAATTTTTTTTGCTGTTTGGCTTGAAAAAAAAAATCGATTTTTTGTATAAAGTTTTAAAAATTTCATTAATTTTTTCATTTTTTTTTCTTCTAAATTAGAGTGAACTTGTAATTTTCCAATTTTGAAGCTTTTTTTGGCTTGTTCTTCCGAAATATTCAAACGGTTGCATGGGATTTAAAGTTTCTATTTTAAGACTGAAGATACTTTTTGGAACAATCAATTTTTGTCATCGTAAAGACCACGTTTTCTTTTTTGGGAATATTTGTTTTTTGTAGGCGCCTCGTTTGAACTGATAGTACTCTTGAATTTTTGCGTGTTCTCATTGCGTAATCGTATGCTTCTTTGAAAATTCATAAAAATACTTCTGGGCTGATAAAAGAAATATCGGAAATCATAGATCCCGTATCTCCAGTCTGAGGAATGGTCCGAGAAAACCAAACAAAGGAAAAGACAAAAAAATATATGTTTAACAAAGAAAAAAAAGTAGGAAAGAAGGTATGAAAGGACAAATAATAAAAAAAAGTAAGGCAACAAAAACACACCAAAGTCTCAAGGTGAGTAAAAAAAACAGTAAACATTGTATAAAATAACTTTTCAAAAGAAGAATTAGGCAAATGCTATTCTACGGGCGATTCCTTTTTAAACTGACACTAGCTAATCAGTAGATGTTAGAAACATTAGGACAGTCGTTGATACACCACACCCACAAGTTTCATTTTTTCGACATACTTCTAGTTTCAACTTAAGACGATTTTGTACGGTTTTGGTTTTAACTTTCAAACCTGCATAGATTGTACTAAAACGTTTAAAGTTCAAACTTTTTCAAAAAGGTCAAACTCATTAAAAAAAATTCAAAATCATCAACAGTTGAAGAGAAAAACTGATGTTCAAATTTAAAATATGTAAATCAAATACAAAAAACTTTAATCATACAGCTGTAACGAAGCAAAAAAAACGCGACAAACTATTTTGTTCGTATTCATTCCTTCTTTATCGCTCTCATTGAAACAACGAGCAACACAAAAAAGAAAGTTTTTCTGGCGGGAATCAAAGTTAGTTGCGGTTGTAACCATAATGCTTTCTTCGAGAAATTGCTTCATTTTCCTGATACAGACCTTCCAAAACCTTCCATAAATATCATTATAGCAATTGTTTTTGAACGTATGAAAACAGTTTAATATTGAGAAACTTTTCTGCTGAGACTGCAACTGGAAACAATTTTCTTCTTGCACATCAAGTCTTTTCAAATATTGATAAGGTAATGCATTTTGCAAGACTATTTAACAAAATTTTCTTTATCGGTAATATGAAGCCCTATATCGTATGAAGCAGCAGAGTTATAAAAGCAAGTAAATGGGCTTAGGTATCCACGGTTTAAAAAATCAAGCGTTAGTCCTCTTTGGGTTTTTTCATTTTTTTAAGTTTCCAAGCGCTTACATCGGTCCAAAATCAACCAGATAAACAAATTAGAGTCCCAGTCAAAGTGAAGCAGTCTAGGATCTAAGAGTTACAAAGAGATGAAAAATAATTTTGTTGGATTTCACTTCAAGGGTGAAGAGTTTGAGCATTTTCACGGTCAATCAGGCCATCTAGTCAAAGAGAAAGTCTAAAAAACGAACAAAATTTGAATAATAAATTCGAAAACAAATTCGAAACTTAAATTCGAACAAAATTTAAAATAAAAAAATAAGAGCAAACACGATACAAGAAGTCGAATCTAAAGTTAAACAAAAAGTGGTATTCAAACATTTGTTTGTATCTCTGATTTCAGCTCAAAGGAAAGCCTTCCTTTTGGCTCAACTGAAAACTTGGTTCAACTGCTCCCGAGTTGAGATTAGAAACCTAATTTGAACTAAAATTGGAGCGTTTGAGCGTTTTTTTTTCTTGACAAATGCGCTCAAAATCCTGCTGCAGCGGGTTTTCACGAGTAAATGAGCAAAACTCACAAAGTTTGATTCTGAGAAGTTTTTCTACAAACAAACATACATA